GGTTGCCCTGGCTGCTGGGTAATGATGAAGAGTTTATCAGATGTTCAGGATGAATTATTGGATGCTTTGATCCTCATTCTTATCTCACAAAGAGCTCCCTCTCTCTCTCCCTCCCTCCTTCACTCCCTCCCTTCCTCTTTCCTTCCCTTCTTTTTCCCTTGTTCCCTTTATACTTCCTTTAAGGCCTCCTGTTTGTCCTCCTCCTGTCTTCTTCCTTACTTTACTTCCTGTTTTCTTCCCTTCTCTTCCCCATGTGTCACAATTTTAAAAAGATTCAGTTAGTGTTTATCATAAAACTTTGTGAGCAAGTGTTTAACCTCTGTTTAAAAAAATTAAAGGTAGCACAGGCTCTGCCAAATTCTGGAGAAAACTATTACAAAAACATGTCTTAACTGAATAGTGCAAAAAAAAGAATCACACTTGGTTTCTAGTGTTTGAGCATTCAGTAAATGAAGGAATGGTCATCACTCATAAACACTGAAATATCTTCAAATAAAAAGATTTGCAGAATGAACATAATGAGGCTGATCTTGGATATATGCTGTTTTTTTCTAAGTGGAGTGTGTAGGATGTTGGATACACGAGCTTCACGTTGAGAAAAGAAGACTGTATATATTGTACTGCAAATCTCAATTAGGAACAGTCTTTGAAAGGAATGAGCTCTCCTTGTTCTCTGTAATTGAAAATGGGGGGCCAATGACATGCCAGGTTTTCAAGGCTCTCATGCAGAATAAGAAGGTACTGTCCATACTGCCACTGGAGTTTCTTGAGATCAAAACAGATATTCTTTTGTTGTTTTTTACTTTATTTGATTTTAATTTTACTTTGGTTTTATTGGAAACTGAGCTTCACATTGTAGCTCATGCTGGTCTTGTTTTAATCTGGAGCCTAGACTGGACTGAGTTCATAGCAATTCTCCACCCTTAGCTCCCAAGTGCTGGGATTATAGGTTTGATATGAGACACTGTGCCTGGATTTTTTTCTTTTATTTGATATTTCCTTTTTTGCATTTCAAATGTTATCCCTTTCCCTGGATTCCCCTCCTAATACACCCTATCCTATCCTCCCTCCCTATGCTTCTATGAGGGTGTTCCCCCACCTTCCCATCTACCTTCACTTCCCTGTCCTGATATTCTCCTCACTGCGGCATTGAGCCTTCACAGGACCAAGGGCTTCCCCTCCCTTTGATGCTCAACAAGGCTGTCCTCTGCTACATATGCAGCTGGAGCCGTGGGTCCCTCCATGTATCTCCATGTATACTCTTTGGTTGGTGGTTTAGTTCCTGGGAGCTCTGGGTGGTCTGGTTGGTTGATATTGTTGCTCTTCCTATGGGGCTGCAAACCCCTTCAGCTCCTTCAAGTTCTTTCTCTGACTCCTTTATTGGGGACCCTATGCTCAGTCCACATTATTCATAAAAGAATTATAGCATGTAAATGAAGTCTGCTGTAGACTGGATCGTCTTCTTGATCTCTCCCAGGTCTAGTTAATAGACATGCTTTCTGTAATTAACAAGCCAAAACAACACTACTCAAATTGTGGTCCCAGAACTCAAGGACTGTGTGTCAGAATTAAGTGGGTACATTCTAAAATGTGGAATCCTGCACTAAAATACCAGACATAGTAAATCATAAGTATAGCCATCGTCCTGGGATCTTCATTTGTACTCATTTTCTTAAACTATTAATTGCCATTTATCTGCATAAATGATTTTGTATTGTGTTGCAGTGTTTCAATATAAAGTAAAATAATTTTCCACACTTTAAAAAACAGATTTGAGCATAAAACAAGTTTAATGGTTGTTCGTATTGTGTATGTATTTGAATTGCGATGCTCATAATCTGGATTGAAGGATTAAAATATATTTAATTTCAGTTAAATAGATTTTAATGTCCTTTAAATAGAAAGCCAAGATTAATTGTTCTGCTTTTCCTCAAAAGCATAATTTTAGGATATACACAATTTTAGGAGAAACTACTAAAAACAGAAAACAAAACAAAACAAAAAACCAAAGAAGGAAGGAAAGAAAACTTAAGTTGTGAGTAGTGAATTACAATGCACTTAAAGTATCAAATGTTAGTAATTTTCTATTTGGGGTACATGACACAGTTGCGTTCCGCTTCTCAGCCATCATATGATTTACATAGAGAGAGAGAGAGAGAAATGACTGTGGCCAAGAAGTACTGTGCTGTGGCCAGAACATTTAGTTGCCTGTTTTCCTTCTTACTTGAGTCTTTTTCCATACTTGACAGGGCAGCTCCCCTACCCTCCTCCTTGCCCAGGCTTCTGTGATTGAAAGCACTCTCTTTCCAGCCAATAGGGGCATTTAGAGTAAAGGTAGAAATCTCTTTTGTAACTTTGGCTTGTTGATTCAAGGTGATGGAGAGAGAGGATTCTTATTTGTGGTGCCCAACATGATAGAACCAAGATCTCTGAAGTATCTTTGAAGCAGCTAAAATTGGCTGTTGAAACAGAATGGGTTTTAGAATTTTTTATTAATACATTTTTAAAAATTAATTTAATTTACAGTTAATTCAAAGAAGCCTTTCAATCATTAGGTTTCCTAATAAAGTGGAACACTTGACCCCAAATGGACTTCTTTTCCATTAAGAAAGCAGATAGTTGAACTAGGATAAGCTTTTTTTTCACTTTCAACAAATTAAGATTGTTTGTTGATATTTTGACCATTGACAATAAAGAGGTGGGAGCCGTATGCATCTTCTAATACAGTTTATGGCTACAAAGTTAAACAGACTAAAATAAAATGCGAAAATAACGAAAAGGGGAATTGTAAGCCAATTGAAACAAGGATATTGATTTTTTTCTTAAACCAATCACATGCCTAACAAAGTATCTAGTAGCAGTGACGTAGAGGAAAATTTATTCTCTGTTCTTTAAGGATTATGGCCATGTGACTTAGAAAGAAGCTTTGCTGCAGAAGAAATACAACGAGTCTTCTGGAGTTAACAGATGAAGTTTAATCCAACCAAGTGAAGTGTTGCTAACAAATCAGATTCTACAACCATAACTTTTAAGAAGTTAGGCTAAGCCTAATGCTGCTATTTCTAACAGTTTGGTCAAATAGTCCAGAAGCAATTACCCCAGATTTCTAGCCAATCATCACTTGTCTAATCAATGAATAATTATCTACCATGATCGTTTGTGATTTACCAGACTCCCACTTAGTTTCATAGGACAGTATTAAGGCACTGGAGTGTAATTTTCAAATCAGGAAATTGGAATCAGAGCTAACATCAAAAGTGGATCATTGATTAGTGTTCCACAGAGATTAACTTTTCTAGCATGCAGATTAAAGATAAACTAATATACTAAAAGCCCCACTTAAGGAGCTTTTTAAAGTAAATTATAGGCACTAACAGTCAATTAAGCATTTTGGGTTATTTCCCCCTGTGTCCTTTTAGGGACCCAAAACTAATGAAGCTTATATCATTTTATTCAATAAATGCAAATGTATGTGTACTCAATTGTTAGGAATACAGTGATTTATTATCAATGTTTACTGTCAGCTTATGTCATTAAACAGACCAAGATTAATTTTCACATGAGCTAATGAGATTAACTGGGTTGTGTCCCTGGAACTCATGTAAAGGTAGAAAGAAAAAAGCAACTTCAACACATGTGATCTCTGCCCTCCTCACATGCACTGTGGCATGTGCACACCTACATTCACATGTACACATTCAGCAAGCTCATACATAGTCACACAGTAGCAATAGAGAAAAAAGTAGAAATTACTTATTCAATGAACAAGAAATATGTGCTATATATACATGAATGTACATATAATTAAAACTTTGTACATTTTCAGTAAAAAAAAAGTAGACCGTATCAATTTGAAGTGAAAATGTTGAAACACTGGATTATAATTTTCCATTCTGCTTCTCTGTATTTTCATGGCCTTACTTAATGTTTGAGTTTCCAAAAATTATGCCAACTCTAGAAGAATTAGGTCAACAGAGGAAAACATGCTTTCGACTGCTTACATTAACATTCTGCTGTCTGAAAAACTGGACTAGCTCATCAATCATCTTGTTAGTTAGTATTTGCCATTTAGAACAGAGTCTGAATGTGATCTGTAAAACTCACAAATCTTCACTTCATTTAAAATTATTTAAATTTGGATGTTCTTCACAAAGGGGAATGTACTACAGATTGCCAAATTCAAAACTATGATGAAGAAAAGTTGAGTTAAAATGATTTGATTTGTCATAAGTACCTTATAATCTAAGGGTCTGGCTCAAATTTTACATTCTATTCTGATGTTATAGACAAATAATTTTGGATGGATATGAAAGAAAATAAGAGTAGAAGAAAATTAGTTATAAAAAAGTATATAAACTATTTTAAATTTTATTTTAAAATTAAAATTTATTTTAAAAGTTGAAAATGAACTTGGAACAATGGATTTAAAATTGCAGTTTAACATACCAGATTTTCATATTTTAATTCAAAACTATGTTTTAAAAGTAGACTTTCATTAGTAAATTAGTATTTCCTGTGATTGAAAAAGGATTCATATATTTATAGACATTGAACAAATTGATATACAGAATTTTATGCATTCATCTGTACACCAATAATTCATTTCTAAAGTTATTTTACCATTTAATAAACAATAATAATGGAAAAAAGTAAAATTTTGGCTTCATAGAAACCTAACTCCATTGGGCTTACTTAAACAGTTTAATTTGTCTTCTTACAGATTTTGATGTTTATCAGTCATGTATTTTCAGACTTAAGCAGAAAATGGTCAATGCTTTATATTTTAGTAGTAAAGAAACAATTAATATATTATACAGGTATATTTATATTCAGGGTGCTAAATCTGGCAGATGTTAAAAGTGGAATTTTTAACTCTAATAGAAATCTTAGTTTAGTAAGGAAGCTTTATATTTAAGTCCTCTTTGTGAATAAGTGTGAACTATTTAGATACTGGTTTGAGAGTATTCTTAAAGCTGATAATACTTTTTTTTTCTGTTCAGGTACTGATCATTGAGGTGACTTTATGAAAAGATAACTCCAAAATAACAGTAAGTCTTAAATATTTAGTAGTTTTTAAATTTAATTAACTAGTTCTGTAATTTAATGTTGTATTGTTAATACACCATATACCCGATTGGGTGGCTTTTTCTCATTCTAATTTTATAGGTCTGTTTAGTATGCAAAATTTGAGCCAGATACTAGATGGTAAGGTACTTACGTCAAGCTGAAACATTTTAACTGAACTTTTATTTATAATAGTTTTGAATTTAACAAACTGCAGAGCAGTCTTCTTTTTGAAGACTGTCAATAAAAGTAATTACTTTCCCACTCAATGACTATTTACTGTGAAAGATTTGTTTCTCTTTTGGAATAAATGGTTTCAAATTCAGTGATATTAAAACAAAACTAAGGTATTGCGTTCTGCTACTGTGTTGAAAATTATAATATTCATGCTGGAAATTGTTGTTGATCAGAAGACCTACTAATTAAACTTAATAAAATTTGATGATAGCAGTCCTTTCTCTATTCATATTCAGGGACTCTTCTTCGTTGCTATAATATGCTTACAACTAATCTTCACACATTGTTAATTTTTTATTTAGAATCATGTCTCCTAATATGCTTATGATTTGTAATAAGATTTACTGCTGGCAAGGACAAATGATAGATAGATAGGTAGGTAGATAGATAGATAGATAGATAGATAGATAGATAGATAGTATATATGATAGATATCACATAGAATGATAGATATGATTGATAGGTAGATAATATATATAATAGATATCACATACAAAGATAGATATGATATATGCATATATATTGTTAATATATATAATCAATGTAGGATAGAGATACAGATAGATTGATTATATATAGTATATATATTATAGATGTCAGATAGATAGTTGTGATAAATATATATATATATATATATATATATATATGATAGATGTCAGAATGGTAGATCAATATGATAGATGATAGGTAGATAGATAGATAGGTAGATAGACAGATAGATAGATTTTATATATGTATGATAAATGTCAGATACAAAGATAGATATGATAGACAATTGCTATACTATATATATGCTAGATGTCAGAATGTTAGATATAGATAAAAAGAGATAGATAGATAGATAGATAGATAGATAGATAGATAGATAGATGGCTGACAGAAGAAGAAAGGAAGAGGAAAGATGGAGGCAGAGAGAAAGAGAGAGAATCTCAGGTACAATAGATGGTAAAATATTACACTTTTTATTGGTGTTGGAAAGTAAAGTTAGGGTCTACATGTGTGAATAAGTACTTTACCAGAGAGCTATATTCCCATTGCAAATATTGAATTTTTTCTTCTTAATCATTAAAATAACTTAAATGTGTGTTTTGACTGAATTGACCTTTACTCTTATAGAATGCTGTTTTATTTAAACAAATTTGTGTCCACTCTTGATAGTTAAAACATTCTTTTCCTTCATAAAATATCTTGCCCAAATATACTTAATGATAGCCGGGCGGTGGTGGCGCACGCCTTTAATCCCAGCACTTGGGAGGCAGAGGCAGGTGGATTTCTGAGTTCGAGGCCAGCCTGGTCTACAGAGTGAGTTCCAGGACAGCCAGAACTACACAGAGAAACCCTGTCTCGAAAAAACCAAAAAAAAAAAAATATATATACTTAATGATTTACTCAAAAAAGAGAAAAACGATGTCAAATCAAAAGCAGACAGTAAACTTAGATACATGGCCATGTGCATGTATGTGAGTATGTATTACAGAAAAGTTTATATAAAATGTAATAGAATATCATTTAAGTATTTTATAGATATGTAATTCTATGTTATAACCAACATAATTTGAAATATTTTTTAAAGAATCATACAAATATATAAGCAATTGTTTAAGTATATACAAATATTTAAATATAATCAAATATAATTATATATCAATATATAACTAATCCTTGATAAAACTCAAAATAGTCATAGACAGGTATGACAGCAACACTTTTAATCCCAGCACTTGGGAAGCAAAGGCAGACAGATCTTTGAGTTCATACCCAGGCTGGTATATGAATCGAGTCCAGACCTTGTCTCTAAAAGCCAGAAAATAAACACACACACACACATACACACACACACACACACACTGAGAGAGAGAGAGAGAGAGAGAGAGAGAGAGAGAGAGAGAGAGAGAGAGAGAGAGAG